CTTCTTTTATTACATGTATCAGGTTACATATAAGCTTTCAAAGCTCCTTTTCCTTTCCCTTTTTTTTCCTCCTTGGTTATTTGGTTGATTGGTTAGTTTTACAACTGAATTTAACCCTGCGTAGTAGCAATGTCTTGTCTGGACAGTTCTTTCACATAAATCACAGGAAAATAAGAGACAACAGTCATTGCGATGGGCAGCTGATAGATAACTGCTAGACAAGCGCTTATGCAAAACCCAACCTTGAAACTCAGTCATGTTTTCTTTTGTACGCCACACACAACCAGCTTGGATTTCCTTAGTGCCCAAGTAATACCAGAGAAAACAAAACAGCCCCCTACACCACAAAAGCAGCATTCTTACCTGCAAATTTCTATGTTGCTTTTCATCAGCTCTAAGCTAAAATGCAGCTCAACTCGAAACTTAATTAGACTCAACTGGAGAGGTAGTAGCTTGTAACAGGTTTTTATTCTTACAGGGTTCTGAAGGCACTTCCAGTGAGTAACAGAACAGTGGACATGTGGAAAACATTCATAAAGCTGGAATAATTCTACTGGATTTCAGCCATTAAGTCTCAATGTAAGATGGACACCCACACCAGACTTCCTTAAACTCTTCAGCCATCTAAAGCAGTCGCGTAATATTAAAACTGGAGCTGGACTGATCATTCAAAATTAATTTAGCCAGAACATTAATGAGCTACAATTTCTTCTGCTGCTTGTATGCTGATCATCAGCAGTTTATAATCTGCTTGATTTTGCTTCCTTTACCGGTTCTACAAATGATCCGAGCCCAAAACTAGCTTTCACTAAAGCTTTTAAGATCTGAAATTTGAGCAGCGCGGATCCTATTGCACAGTTGTGATCAGAGTCCAAGCCGTGAAGAATACCAGCCAGCTACACTGCAGACCCTGGTTTGCTTAGGGCAGTGTGGTGGGTTGACTCTGGCTTGCAGCTAAGCCCCTGCCCAGTCACTCACTCACTCCCCCCCAAACGGGATGGGGGAAAGAATCAAATGGGGCAAAAGTGAAAAAAACTTGTGAGTCAAGATAAAGATAGTTTAACAAGTGAAGGAAAAGGAAAAAAAAAACCAAAAACAAATAATGTAAAGGCAGTCACTCACCACCTGCAGACTGATGCCCAGCCAGTCTCCGAGCAACACCTACTGTGGAAAAACTTCCTCCCCAGTTTTATTGCTGAACGTGACATTATATGGTATGGGATAACTCTTTGGTCAGTTTGGGTCAGCTGTCCTGGCTGTGTCTCCTCCCAACCTCACACCCAAACCTAGCCTACTTGCTGGGGCAGCAGAGTGAGAGATGGAGAAGGCCTTGACACTGTGCAAGCACAACAATAACTAAAACATTGTTGTGTGTTATCAACACTGTTTTGGTCACCAGTCTAAAACACAGCACCATACAGGCTGCTATGAGGAAAATTAACTCCATCCGAACCAGAGCCTGTACAGGCAGATAATAAGGGACCATGGGGCTAACTCCAGATACTGCCAGTCCATTGCCAGTCCAGTACTGCTAGTATTCCATGAACAAAAACTAATACTTGGCTTTCTCTCTGTTCAAAACATTCAGTCTTCACTAAAAGTTTGGGAAATTGAGGCAGGGAAATTAAGTAAGCTATCCCAAGTCTCTCCTAGAAGCAGTAGAAGGGATTAGCATTCAGAGCTGGTGCTTGTCTTGAACCACAGTCCTCCAGTCTTCATCCACCAGCCCCATTTTCCTGTTGCCTCACTGGATAATCAAAGATCTCTGAACTCAGTTTCCATCTCTTTACTACTAAATTACTACATCAGTACGTTGTAAGCTGAGGTTCCAAGCATTGGTGCTTTTTGTATCTCAAGGCACTGCACTGGTACAGAGAGAGGATGAACACAAAATACCTGAAATCACATAAGCAGCAAGGAGGTAAGGACTGTAAGACTTCCCCAGCCCAACTGAAACCAGGTAGATTTGTTCTCACTGGAACATGGATCTCCTCCAGGAGGGAAGGAGAAGGTTAAGGTGCTTTTTTGGTTTTTTTTGAGGAGGGAAGGGGAAGGTTAAGGTGCTTTTTTGGTTTTTTTTTTGCATCGCCTTGGTTGGATCTTTAAAAGGCAGTAGTAGTTCTAGCCCTGAGTTTCCTGCTCTGAATCTAATTTTCCCGAGGCTCAAAAAGTGACTTACCTGGAGATCATAAAGGCTGTCACAAAGCTCAACAACCAGGATTAGAACCATATTTCCTACTTTATCTTCTGTTCTTTCAAGTCAGTGCAAAATATTACCAAAAAGCATTACTACCAAATTACATTAGGGTTTAAGAGGTATAGGCATAGAAGCCCATCTAGATACACCTATCAATGTCACGTATATCTGTTCACAGCATGATAATAAATGTCTAGACAAGTAACAAATACAAAGCAAAAAAGGTTCATCTGTTTCTGGTCTATTTTAATAAGTGAAATAAACCTAAAAGTGTGAGTTGGATTTCAGCAGCAGTTAACCTTTCCTCTGACACAATGCAAGGTCTCTTTGCAGGGATGCTAAGCAGAAGATTGCTAAATGCCATATTGGGGCTAACTCAGGAGACTGCCAGTCCATTGCCTGCTTATATAAAGCTTCCCAGGAGTCAGGCTGATACCCTCAGGCTTCCCCGAAAACACTCCTGATCCATAGGGCTAATCTCATTTCTTAGACCATGAAACAAGCTGCAATCTAAGGCCGATGGATGTATGAGACAGAATCGCCAGTTTGCTGAGTGGCTGCTGCTCCGCAGGTCTGTTAGGTACTTCGTGGCTTTCGGGCCCGCAAGAGACTTAGCTGAACGATGCTACTCACTTGTAGGGGACACCATGCCTGATGCCACCTTCCCCACTGCCTGCCTTCCACCGCCCCCAAACAAGTTCACAGTGATCACCTTAGTGCGTGTTTTGGAATAGGAGGGGTTTGGTATAGCTTTTGGGTTTCATAAAGCGCAAGAGAGCTGAAAAGTTGGTCAAACAACTTCCTAGGATACATCCCTGCAGGTCCCATGGGTCCGTGTGCTCAAGCACACACGTGTCATGAGGTAGCTGTTTGTGCTAAGGCAAAGAAAAACATGACCTGTTTAGAGAGCTTTGGCTGTTAGCAGAGTGGGTATTTTTGGCTTAGGTGGAAAATAATAAAGCTAGACAGGTCTGAGGTCCTGGTGTACCCACGGGGTGCCGGACTTCAAAACTGATCCCAAGTTGTTCAGCTATTTGAATTTTCAGAATTGAAGCGCCAGCAGCTGGGCAGTCCCGGGCTGCAGGCACTGTACACGTGTGAACACGTTAAGCTGCAAGCTCTTGGGAGCTGCTTTCCCACGTGAGCGCTAGACAGGGAATTATTACCACTTGCCTGGCATCACCAGTGTGAAAAGTAGGTGTGATATTTTCTGGTTCAATTAAATAGAAGGAGCCCCAGGTCACTACCCTTCTTTGTGAAGTGGGTCCATTCCATTTTAAGTGCTTCCCTTTGTTTCCTGTGCAAAGTGGTGACATGGAAACAACGCCATCTCCCACCATGAAATGACAGCTTGCTCCAGCCCTTTCATAACAGAAGCCCTTGAGGTTTGCACCAAGGGAGCTTGATTAGGTTAGTAATCACTGCAGCACACGGAAAGCATTTATACCCTGCAACCTTTTGTAAATAAGGAGTTATATTGGTTCTGCCTCTAAAGCCGGGGAGATTTACACATACGGCTTTCTCCCAGCACTGAGGGAGGAGAAACTGGGGCAGTAAAATCCTGAAAGCCAGCAATTTATTCAAGAAGGGATGCTGAGAGCACTTGAAGGCTCAAAGCTTGTGGTATTTTACCTACAGTTTGCAGCACAGGGAACAAAGGATAGGATTTTCATTAAACCCTAGCATTTTTAGAGACACAAACCATATTTTTTTCAAGTCACATTGATGGTCTTGCAAAAGTTTTCTTCAAGAGTTGTTACTACACAAGAGCTGTGTGTGCAGCTTTTGGTGATTTACTGCCTGTTACCTGTTGCTGTAGTGGGAGCTGCTCTAAAGGGCTGGCTAGAAAAGGACTTCCCAGTTCTCCCCCATTCCCAAGACCTCTTTTGAAGTTTTCTGTCCTCCTTTGGCAGTCACCTCACTCCCACATAGCTATTGCACCTGACATGACCTCTGGTTATCTCCAAAACCTGAAGAAGTCATTTGTGCCAAGTCTGCCCACAGTAAACGACTTTGGGAGAGAGGTACTTTGTGACCCACAGTTCCCTGCTCACAGGTGTGACTGAGGAAATCCCAAACCTTTTCTTCAGTACTTCGTGTCTTGGGCTACAAGATGCCTGGGAAGCAAAACCAGGTAATATCCCTTTTCCTTTCTCAGAGCAGTCTCTAGTTTTAATTACCTCCTCTGTTCCTTTGGTAGCAGCAATTTATGGGAGTTCCCTCTTCCGTAGCCAGGAAATTGGGAAACACAAATATGACACAATTGCCTTCAATTACCAAAAATATCACTTTTATGGAAGAAAAGTGAAAATTTTGACTTATTCCAGATCTGAAGCAGTGAGAGACACATAGTGAGATTATAGGGGAGTTTCCAGGGACTGAGGCTCACCCATGGCCTTCAGAGAAGAGAAATAACCATGTTACTGCCTTTCCTCCCAGCTTCACAGTGGTTTGTATCCTTTAATCTCACATACTGAAACCTCTGTTTGCTTGGGCTTTGGAGATTCAACAGCCCCCATGTGCAGTTAGCACAGAGCACGACTCCCCCATTACTTGCTGGTTTGATCCTGGCCACAGCCATAAATGACTGCCCTGCCTCTGTGTACACAAGATGTATGTGGATCAGATAGATACAAATTCGAACGTGCAACACGGCTCCACCCACGCTGTCTGCAGAAGACAAACTCATCCACAGCAATGAAAAGTGCAAAGATAATTCAGTGTTTTCCACTTGATCCCAGGTGATGTTTCTTAGCATCCCTTGGCACATCCCTCCTTGCACACCTGCCTCACCCCCCAAAAGCTATTGAGATGCTTGTTTTGCTGAGTCCAAGTCTCCTTTTGGTCTCCAAGGCTCTTCTACCTGTGTTTCCAAAGAGATTAATAAATACTGTGCACACCAAACTTCTGTAGGGCCCATCGCAGGAGCTCTGGTACCCCTCTAAAACATTTCAAGTTTGGTTTTTTGCCATCTTTGAATGTTATGACCGCCAACAGGCCAATAACGGCTACACGCCTTGCAGACAACATCTGTTGTTCAACCTGGAGTGCCATGTCCTTATTTTTATTTCAATGATTCTTCTCCTGTCCCATAATACACGAGGACCCCCAATGGTTTTGCATTTGAGCTCCATCTGGTGCATCTTGGCTGCCTGTAGCAACGTCTCAGTGCCCATCCCCGCCGTGTAAGTCCTCAAGCAGGTCAAGACATCACCATGTCCCAGCGCTGACTCATGGCTGTGCTCTCGCAAGGGTTGATGACAAGCTCTTTGGTGCTCTCATTCGTGTCCCCAATTGTCTCAGTGTCCAAACAGAAGCGTGAAGCTATGTGTTCAATGTGTGACCCAACTTTACCCCATCGCTGAGGAGAGATACACACATGAGAGGAGAAACGGGTGAACAAGCTTCCTCCTTATTATGCTTTTACTATACTGTTCCAGCATCAAGAGGACAGTCGTCACTAAGCCTTTGCGGCCTGATGCTGGGAAGTACAGGGTCCCCCAGCCCACACCCAGCAGAGCACACTTAGCATTTCTCCCATCAGCAGCACACTCATTTAAGCTCAGCCTCTGCCTGGCTTCAGGAAGATAATATATTACTAACAGCTTTTTTCCCCAGGTCACTGGTTCAAATGCCAGCTTGATGATTAACTGCAGAGAAATGTTAGCATCTGCTGGCTGACTGGCAGCCCGTGTGAACTAAATTGCCAGTTTCGATTTGACTTCTGCAGAGAAGTAGCCAGATCACCACCCGCACTAATAGACATCCTTATCAACACACTCATTTAGGAGGCAAAGGGCTGAACAGGCCAGAGTCAGTACTCCCAGAGAGATGGTGCTTCCCAGAAGAAGTCAGAGCACACAGCGATTTGATGTGCAGTAATACTGTGCTGAAAGAAAGGGAACTTCAAAGGAAATGGAGGATCAATGAAAGAGCTCACCTGCTTGTTGTCACCTTCTTTGCAAGGTGACAGCAGCACCTGGGAACCGGGGAAGAGGGTGTACACAGACAAGCACAGCTGCTGCTGGCGGACTTGGTGGTTGTATGTGTATGTCCATTCCTGCAAAGAGGAAGAAAAAGAAAGGAGGTGAGAGATCAGGGTTGATTCTTGGTATTCTTCTACCTGGAAAGCGAAAACTTTGGCTTGGATCCTGCCCCGTCAGAAACCAAGCACAAACCTCATTGACTTCAAGAGGCACCAGGACAGGTCACCAGGATGTTTCAAGCCTCCCCAAAACTGCAGCTGTCTTTGGGGGACTCTATGTACCAAAGAAAATATCTACAAAAGTTGCTGGAAGAAAATGGTTCATGAGGCAAAGGATGCCATAGCCAGACCGGGCTGTGGTTGGGGAACAGGGGGATGGAAAAAGAGGCAGAAATGTGCAACCACACAATGTGCAATCCTCTTTTTCTGAGGAAGAGCCGCAGAAATGCTTTGCAGCTAGCAGCAGGAGAGAGGAGGTGATATATAGCAAATGTTTGCAATTCCCAGGATTCTGTTCCCAAATATGACAAAAATCAGGGGTAAAGCTCCCCTTTATATCAAAGGAGCGGGACCGAACTCCAAACATTTGCTTTACTGATTTGCTATGACCAGTGATATTCCTGCGCCCCTGGGCTGTTCTGGAGTTTTTTTTCTCACCCTGCTTTTCATGTTTACCTGCTCTTTATCAGCTCCTCAGCCCAAGAAATAATCTTTGGGGGAGCAGAGACTCTTTGTCCTGTGTAAAGCTCTCTGGGGTTATCATCTTTTCCACCCACGGATGTTTTTCTTGGGAGAAAAAGGGAAGAGGCTGACAGTTTGACCAGGATTTCCAAATGTACTGGACAAAGCACCATGTACGTACAGATACACTGCTTAACCCAGTAGTTTTTCACAGAAGTTTCTTCCAACGTTTATTCCAGTTGAACGTTTTCTGTCATTCACCTGTGCTCCTATTACCCAAGAGCACCTCCTGAGGATCTGAGACTGCCCAGGCAGGGACGTCTCCCTGCTATTTGTGTGTGGACACAAGCAGACAAGAGCTGCTTTGGCTTATGGAAAACCACAAACCATGCTTTTACATAACCCCAGAGAGTGACTTCTGGAACAAGTTTTTTGCTTATAACTTTGTGAGAGTATTAACTTTAAAATTAGGGCTTGAAGGGATTTCTGAGGGCCTCTAGCCAGGGTGCAAAGCAGGATGAACTCCTGCTGTGTAAAAAGCTCTGAGATAGTAGTCAGGCGAGCAGCAGTGGGAGCAAATGGAAAGCAGGTTGCTGAGCCATGGCAGGGCAGGTGAGAAGGACTGGAGGACAAACAGCAGGCTGGCTTCACTAGCAGAGGGCAATAACCACGCTGGAGAGAGCAAGGCCAGGGAGCAAGAGGGTTTCTGCAAGAGGCCCCAAGAGCCAAGGCAAATGCTTTGACAGGGTATAGGCTGTGAGAAAAAGCTGCTGTGAAGGAAAAGATGAGAGAGAAACAAAACAGTTGAGAGTTCAGATTCGGAGGAGTCAGAGCTCCGGGAAGAGTGAAGTGAGCAGGGGTGTTGGCAATGGAGGGGAAGGCAGCGCTCAAACACGTGGCAGTTTAGGCTGGGTCTAGAAAAATGAAGGGTAAAAGGTGCTCCTGGCAGAGTGCAATCCTTCCTGAGTGCTGAACGGGGAAGTGAAGAACGGCTGCCCTGACCTCAGAGCTGGGACGCCTGCAGCTCCCTCTGACTTTGAATGATGGAGGCTTTGGGTTGCATTAGCATGAGTTATTAGAGCAGGGAAACGCTTCCACCCCTTTGGTAATTGTCACCGTCAGCAGCTTTAACTCCTCTTCCCAACTTCAAACCAGACAGCCACAGGCATTTAATTCCTGGGAATACAAATCCCACTTCATTCAGGTTCTTAGCCACCTGGAAGGGAAAACACGCTTTTGCACAACAGACCCAGATCCACAAGGACTTCACGCTGTGATCCTCACACCCCACGTTTCTTAGCCTACTACTCCCCACCAGCTAATGGAAATCAAACCTGGCTTTCTGAACAGCCTGCCCACAGGCTTCTCAGTGAGAGCTGCCCAGGATTTCGGCACATAACAAGCATTAATTTTCAAAGCCATAGTCGGCACTCGAAGGGCCTTCGGGCAACTACTTCTTCTTTGTCAGACGGAGCAGAGTTTACATGATCCTACAGTGAACACATTCCAGACATCCCAACCATGCACGCTGTCAGCTGCTGTGTAAACTACCAGCCTGGGAAATCAGGTGCCAAATTAGTCCTGCATCTGTGAAGAACCAAGCCCTACAGGGCAAGCTCCAACACCTGTTCTCGGCGCCTGCGCTGCTACAAGCTGCTTTGAAAACCTGCTTTACATTTTTAACCAATTGTTCGTCATTTTAGCTCAGGACAAGGCCTGAGCTGCATCCATGAGCCTCCACAGCAGCAGCAGCTAATCCTGTAACTCGTGTACATGTTGAATCCCCCAACTAACTCAGGCCATGGGACGTTTTTTTTTTTTGCTTTGACCTCTTAACCTCCTTGCTTCACTGAGCACTTCATGCTCCTCCCAGAGGTTCTCCATGCTTTTTTTCCAGGCCAGGCTCTGTTCAAGCCTTCCCGATATTCACATCCTCTCAAGGCAGGACCACCCTCTCACTCGGCAAAGCACCATGAGATAGACAGTGTGGTGGTAACCATCTCTCCTAAGCTGTTCTTCATCATAAGAAGTGAGGCCTACAGAGCTAAATGCATGCATCAGTTCGATAGCTGACATTGGATCCTCCCCTCCTGCCCCCAGCCTGTCCTGCTGTTGTCTTTATCTAAACTGACAGATTTTCACATGGCTCTTCTATTTTGGCAGAATGGCCTTTTATGGAAGCCAGTCCTGTTGAAAATGTTTTAACCAGTTCTAAGCACACCTTGTCTCTTTTCAGCCCTAGATGAAAGCCAGAGAAAATGACGCAGAAAATGAAGAAAATCTGGGGGGAAAAAAAGTCACCTGAACACCACAGAATCCATGAAAAGCTTGGAGTTAGAATACAGGCAAATGGCCATGCAAATTTTTATCTTACCCCATCTCTTCCCCTATTTATATCAGTTGGGATGAAAATTCCTGCTTTTTTTCCCCATGAGAAACTACTTTGTCTTCTAAACCCTGGCACGCTGAGCACTCACGTGGCCAGCACAGCGGTAACAACAGCAGAGCTTCACACCCCGGCAGTTGTGGTGAACGGGGCAGCCCAGGGTCCTCCTAAGAAGGAAGACCTTAAAGGAGCTAACACGGCTTCAGGGCTGCGGACTGGCCTGAAGAGATGCCAATGGAGTTGAGAGCTGACCCCTGGCACCAAGCAAAAACAGACACACGAGGTGAAACTGAGATCAAGATTTCCTGCCTTTTCAAAGACAAAGCAGCTCCTGATGAAGTGGTGGTGGAGCAAGGAGGAAGACGGTGGACCGGGTGAGCAGAGCTACCAGCTGCACACCACAACCAGCAATCCCCCTCCTCTGAAGCCTCAGATAACGCTAGCCCCCATCTGAGGCTTGCGACTATTCTTCAAGGCTTTAGCATCATTCGAGCAGGCACCTGTCACTGTTACTCAGCGTCATTGTGAATTGAGAAAATTATTTTAAAATGTGACCTTCGGCTTGGCGCAGCCTGGCTGGCAGAAGGAGAAAGGAGCCTTTCAGCCTAGCAAGGAGCAGCCCCATGGGAGCCCAGTGTCACGTGACAGAGCCGTATATGCTCTGCAAGAGGTCAGCCGTACCCTAAAGCTGGGGTAGCAGCTAAAGAAAAATTTCTGAAGAAGCTGGGAACAACCTCAGCCCTCAATTATTATCTTTTTAAAATCACAGGGAAGGATTTCTCAAGGCACGCAACTGCATGGGTCACCTAAGGATACCAAAGTCCTTCACTCATCAAAAGGCATCCCAGGGGATGCAACTAGCTCTTACGCAAGTCTCAGGAGAGGGAAAGCAAAATGCAAAAGGTGCCCACGGCAGCCAAAGTGTGGAGAGGACACTGCTGCCAGCCAGCCCCTCTGCTCTGCCGGCTCAGCCCAGCTCCCACAGCTCCAGCTGGCCTACAGCTGCAGCAGGACATGCCCATGGAAGAACGAAGACTTTTGAGGGGAGGAAGGTCAGAAGTGAATTTTTATGGTTGAAATGTCTCAGGAGGGACACTGTCAGGTTAGTTTGGATAGATGCTAAATGTTGTCCAAAGAAAGTGCAGATCTAGCCAGCCCACACAGGTCCTCGAGCCAGCTGGGGTAAGCTTCAATGCCACATCAGGCAGATTATCACATTGCATTTCCTTCACAATAAGAGTCAAGGACATGCCACCCAAATGCAATGGCAGCCACCCAGCTCCAAAGCCCAGATATTTTGGGGTGCAGGCCCAGGAAATGGATGCTGCAACCTTACCACTGTTTCCTCGCTTGTCTACGAGACGACTAAACTTTACATTCATCTTGTGGCTACTGCTTACATGTGTGTGAGTACCCAGGTCAAAGTGTCTTCTGCTCTTTTATCTGAAGTATGTCAGGTTTCCTGAAACTGCTAATGATTTAAATAAATCCCAGAGTCAGATGTCTATTCCGAAGATCTACAGACTAATATCAACTGACACTTAGTCTGAAAAAAAAAACAACTACTCACATCTTCATCAGATAGACCAGGGCAAAATTATGATCAATTATTTTCCCTCAGATGCACTTCTCTTGTGAAAAATTAAATCAGTCAGTTCATTTAGCAAATGAGACACAACAAGACATAGAGTACCAAGGCTCCGGTGGGCAGGAGCGCAGGCAGAGCCCACTGTGCCCTGGGGATGCGCAGCACTGCACAAAGATCTCTGCAGTCACTCTCTCAAGAGCAGGTCCCTCCGAGAGCCACCTCGGGGGACAGAGCCTGCCCTGACTGCTACCAGACCTTTTGGAGAGGAAAGGGCCAAGTGGATCCCAGGGATGAGAAGACAGAGCTCTCCTACACAAAGATGAGGGGTCTTCTTATGCCTCAGTGCCCCTTTTAGTAACTCAGGACTAACTCCAGACACCACCAGGGAAGGTTTGTGACATCTGCTAGGGGTGTAAATCTGATTTCACCGCAGAGTACTCTTCTCAATTTACCCAAACTATGGATGTGGCCAGAGAGCTCACAACACCCTTCCTCTGCACTACAGATATAGAAAAAAATAAAATAAAGAACAATTGATTGCCATCTGACAGCTCCTGTTCCTCTCTCCTCAAACCATCGCCAGCTCAGATCTTCTCACACCCAGTCCCAGGACTTCATGAATGTAATGCCGGTGAAGGGCTTGGGGAGCCTAGTAGGGAGACAGCTACAGAAGGGCCATCAAGCAACCAAATTAATGCTACTAACACTGATAAAAAAGAATCTGGATGGCCAGGATATTTCGATAGTACTCACTGAATGCCAGGAAAGCACAGCTTTGATTTAGTTAAGCCTATTTTTCAAATAACGAAGCTCAGGGTAAACAAGATGTGACTTCAGTATGTTAAAAGTAAAGATTATCGCTCTATTCTGGCGTACCAAATACGAAACTAAGTAGCATTCAGGACTGCTGCATAATCTATCCTACACAGCCTGGTGACTATAACCCCCATGTCATCCACAAGTTCGGGTGCTCTTGTAACAACTATGTAATTAAAATGTAAGTTTCTATTCACAATGAAAATTCAAATATCCTGCTTTCATCTGAAATATTTTCCATGGCTACAAGTAACAGAGAACTATCCTAGAAAGATAGAGAAAGATAAAAGGAAAAGGTTTTTCTCTATTCCTGCCTGTGTATTGAGTGTAGCTACTCAGCAATCTGTTTGTAGTGCATTTTTCTGTTCCCCTGCAGAGTTAGTCCTGGATGGGCACAAGAAATGCGGTTGCCATCCAGTGGGAAGCGTTGACCTATTGCAAACTGCTGCAGAATCAGAATGGGAAGATGAAAAGTTTGTGGCATGAAAAATTCCAAAAAATTACTCCACAGAAATGTCAAAACAAAATGTGCTTGATGGGAATGAAACAATCCAACTTGTTGGCATGACATTTCTCATTTTAAAATATCACATCAAATTGATATTTCAGAAAGACCAATGCCATTTCATTTTGAAATGCTAGCTTGCAGCAGCATTTTCCATTCTGATTTTCCCAGATTTTTTTAAAAACACCCAACTCATTGAAAATTGCAATTGTCACTAAAATGTTTCTTTTTCCTTCAGCAGAGTTGACCCTGAAAAACATGATGATCTGCTCTCATCAGCATGCTTCTCGTGGAAGAAAGAAAAAGAATTCTAAAACCTGGAAACCAGTTAAACCACAAGAACTGTAACTATGCGGTACTTGCAGTTATATTCACTGTATTTTCTGAACTGACTAAAAGTCAAGTAGTCATTGTTGATTTTACCAGACTGTGAAGCAGATATTCTTTTCCTGACTAAAGGCAGGCATGCAACTGCATGCAAAAGAGATGCACATAATGACATGCTTCATTTGCACATAGCAAGTAGGGACATTTTCAGCTGGGCCTTTTATATGCATAGCTACCTGGTTTGAATGTGTAACCATGAGGGTTAAGGATGTACAGTCAAGTGGAAGCAAGCACACCATTGCCTATTAAATTATTTCACGGCACCGCGAAGAAGCGAGTGACTGTTATCCTCCTTGTTTTATAGGTGGGAACAGTGAGAGAACTTCCTGACATGCCCAAAATCACAAAGGGAGCCTGAAGCAAAGGCAGGTTTTGAAGCTGTGTCTTCAGGGTCTTGCTCCAGCGACTCCGCTGCAAGGCACGTGTGCCTGTTCTTGGCTCTAACATTTCATAGAATATGCTTTTGAGAACAATGATTTATATGGCTTTTTCTCATGCCAGTGAGATTGAAAAAACTGAGAAAAACTAAAAAACCGAGACATTGTCTTCATTAAATTCTCACTAGTTTAATGGGCAATCTAATATTGAGAGAATGCAGACTATGAAGTTATAAATACCATTGCAATTCAGTGCATTTTGAAAGAAATAAGGCTGAAAGATGAGAGGAAATTATAGTTCTCTTCGTCTTCCTCTGATCTCTGCAGATGAACAGCGCGCGGCGTTCCTGAGCAGCAGTAACTGCTCAGCGCAGGCTAGCATAGAGATAAGCGGTCCACCCTGTACTGTGGCTCCTGCACCAGTCCCTGCTGCTGCCCAGGGCCTCCAGCGAGGTAAGGAGGAATTACCAGGGGTTAACTATGTGCAACCTTAGGAAAAGGGCTGGCAGAACGGGTAATACTCCAACAGAGCTTTAGCAAACTTAGGAAATCACCTTAAACCTGCCCCGGAGTCTTCTCTCCAGCCGGCATCACGGGGATAGGCAACACCTTACCTGTGCTGTTGCTGACGTGCCTTTGCTGCTGATGCAAGGATTTAAGCTCAGGACGGGAAACTCTTGGGCTTCAGACTTGTGCGACTCCAGGCAGCTCTGTCTTTGCCTGATCATCCCAGTCTGATAGAGTGATTCCTCGGGAATCCTGCGGGAACAGCATGAAAAAAACATCCCTACTCCACCAGGCACACGGAGTACTCAAAGCGAGGCTCAGTGGGGTAAGGAGGGTGCATTTCACCCTCAGAAAATGAGAGTGGCAAGATCTATTACAATACTGAACCACTGAGAGCAGTATATGGACAGGGACGCTGCAGAAGCAGCACTCAGAGATGGATGGCCGGCCTTTCTAAGAGGAAAAAATAAATAACACTGCACAAGGCAAACAGAGGAGCAAGGAATAGACTGTGAGCAGGCTGAAGGTCAGCCTTCAGCTTACCGGAGTGGGGAACTTTATAACAAACTGCCACAGAACCCTGGCATTTCCTGTGAATGCCGCTGTGCAATGCCACACGCGGCAAAAAAGCAAGAAAACAGCTATAAATCATTTTCACACTGTGATTCTGCACTCAGCCATTGCACCAGCAGGCCCCTGGAGATATCTCCAAAACATTTGCATCCTTTTTGAGGATGGTTCCTGACAGTGACTGGGGGAATGGATGCAATGGTTTCTGGAGTAATTTTGGTGACTAAAAGGGATCTGCACAAAAGCAACTGTAGAAGTGCATATTAAGCAAAGCATTAGGCTAGGAGTAAGGCAGAGCCACCTGAATACAGGTCATAAACTCCTGGAGTGGATGGTTTCACAACAGAGAAGTCTTGAGTATCACAGAACAGTGTGAAAGGACTGGAAATTAGGTGCTTTTTTTGTAAGCAAGAGTCATTAAGTACTGAAACAACCCACCAGAGGCTACGGTGGATTTTCCACCTTGGGATACTTTTGTAAGGAAAACTGGCTATTTCCCT